AATACCAAGATGTCAAACTGCAGCTGATATTTCTCCAGACAGAGGTACGACATGAAACTATCCAGTTTGTCAGTTTATTATAGCAGAATTTACCTATTCACTCTTCAAATACTAATTCTGTTTATTAACTCATCCATGTTTCATGTTTTTAAGGAGGATAAAATTAAGGCAAAACTCAATAAAATAATCCTAAAGGGGAAGAAAATCATCTACAACAGTCTAACAGAGACAATTGAGAAAAACATGAAAAAGTGCTATGAAGGTAAGAAAACTGTCAGCTTGTCACTGTAATAAATCACAATTGTACATAAAAAAAATGTTTTGACAAAGTTTATTCTTTTCTTGTAGACGCACAAAAAATTTCTGGAACTGATGCACTGAAAAAAATGAGGAAGACTATTGAGACACATGTATCCTTAAATAGGAACATGTATGAGGATGCAAAAAAGACCATGATGAAGAAGATGAATGAACTGATGGTTTGTCAAATTATAACATACAATGAGACCAAGTAGTGTTTTTTCTGTATTTGAGTGCTTTGGCTCAGTCTGAACATTCTCTAAACCAGGGCTAGGCAACTCCAGGCCTGAAGGGCCTGTGTTCAGCAGGTTTTAGATATCACTCTGGGTCAACACAGCTGAATTGAATGATTAGTTTGTTACCAGGCCTCTGGAGAACTTCAGGACATGTTGAGGAGGTAATGTAGTGATTTAAATCAGCTGTGTTGGATCAAGGACACATCTAAAACCTACATGACATTAGCCTTTGAAGCCTGGAAGTTGCCCACCCCTGCTCTCTAAACGTTAGTGAGGCTGCTGTTAATATTTTTATTTTTCAGCATTACAAAGATTTAGTCTGATACGATGGGTTGAACTGAAGAGTGTGAAGTATAAACTGGCCACAAGCACTCTAAACAAACATCTACCCATTAATTTAGATGTTTCAGGTGTTTCTAAACCTCAATATTTGACTTTGGAAAAAGTAATAAAAGCTCTGATGTTTTAATTAGACGATCATCTGTAAGGAACTGGAGGAAACCATGGACCACTCCATTAAACACTCACTCAAGGCATCCACTTTGAGTGAGAGTCTCCCAGGTAAAGAAAATATAGGCTATAAAGGTGAATCATGTATGTTGAACAATGCCAAAGCATGTTTTATTTATTTTTTGTTTTTCAGATGTTTCAGGGGATCTTGAAACTGTGCAGCAACATTACAATGAAGTTAAGCGCAGTCAA